CCCCGCCGAGATTTCCGCCACTGACAGTACAGTACAGTACAGTACAGTACAGCACAGTACAGCACAGTACAGTACAGTACAGTACAATAACTCGAATTTAGGAGTAGCTACAATTTAGGAGTAGCTCGAATCTAGCTAATGTTTGCGAGTGAAACATCTGACAAAATATAGACGATACATTAATGAATTTTTAAAAATACATACTCTACACTACTAGACTTCTACTATCGTTCAAAATTTAGAATTGTCTTTGCACGTGCAATGGAAAACTTCGTTTTAGAGTCTTTCAAAATTTATTTAAAATACAGGATGTAGACCCATCTCTTTGTACTATTTACAACATGAGCGGCCGTGTTGTATCGGATATACAAACTCGAGTCGAAGGCGAGAGTTTGTATATCCGATACAACACGGACTCGAATGACTTAAAAAACGACTCATCTTATGAGTTCATTGGCGAAGTAATTTTAAAAATAAACGTTGTCTAAGCCGAGAAAATCAAAGTTAAAGTTTATGTAAATCAACATGAATCTGTATCACATATACAGATACGACACGCTTATGATTTTTCTTTGTGTTTTCTTCATGAATTATTAATGAGTTTTTTAACCTTATTTATAAATTATAATTTCGTTGTTTTGTTTAACAAACAAAAACCATTTTCAAAATTCTGGTACAGCTCTAAACCAATCCTCCCCCCCCCCCCCTCGTCTCCTAATATGACTTACTAACTAACTAACCCACCCATCCATCCAACGCCCAACGGACCAGAATAAAAGTAGATCATGCCAAACCTGTGTCTCATGTGTCACTTGTGCGGGGTTGTTGGCGGCTAATTTTAGAGCATTTGATGTCTGTTGGATCAGAGGTAAAGTCGTGGCTTTAACTTTTGATACTTGTTTAACAAGGGTGAGTCGAAGCTAGAGAACATACAATAAATGAAGTTAGTTAATGCTAGAAAACATTTAAGAACCTTGGATAACTCGTATACCTAGCTGCTATTCATGCATTCATTCTCGTCCTCTGGGTCAGACGACTAAAGGGAGAAATCTGATTGGCTTCTCAGAGAACTGCTATTTCGCAAAAGTTGAGCAGTTTTCGCTACACAAAATTATTCTATCAAAATATGTCAACACAAATACTTCGTTTCTTCGTAATACTTCACTTCGAAAATTGTTACGGGTGCTAGCTAAAGTGTCCCAATTCAAGAGCATGCGCTTTAGAAACTACTGTTTTCTTGCAGTTCCGGTTCCGTGTATCCCAGGGCCTATGAAGGACGCGCGCGGCCGAGAGGCCAAAGATCATTCCCGTCTACCAGTTGCGCGGCAACGCGACGGCAACGACTACCAATACAATAGATCATTGAAAAGAATTGAGTAATTACAATATATGAATAATTTAGACATTGTCCCCGTTCTGTTTACAAGCCAAATCACAGACTTTCACGTGTTGATACAACGGCTGCATTCCAAGCCACAACAAGTCCAACTTCAACCTGGGTTTAGCAGAACTCTTCCCAACCATAAAACCCATGTCTTCAACTTCTAAAACTGTATTAAATTCATACGATTGATAATATACGACGAACTATCTTTACTACCATTTATTTGAAGGAGTTTGTTTTGGCCGTCGTCGTCGCGTTGCCGTCCTAAAATCGTAAGGTCTCTATATATATTTTCAGGCGGTTGTCTCGTGGGTTCGCGGTTACTATTCTTCGTCACCTATTACATTATTATTCATCTCACTTCCTACTGGGGCTTTTCATTGCCCGATTACATCAAGTATTACGCATACTTATGTTACTTACTTAGCCTAGACTATTTATCTTTACAACAATTGTGATTACTTTGTTAACTGTGTTTATCCTAACCCACCCTGTCAACTTTCCCTGTGGGAGGAAACCAGAGCGCCCAGAGAAAACCCAAGACTTTCGGCAGAGCGTTGACAGACTCTTTTCACATGAGTCCGTAGCGAGAATCCAACCCACGAACTCAGAGATGACAGGCGCTTGCTCTGACAACTACGCACCTAGAGTGGCGCGTACAATAGACCTTTCCCCTTTATGAGTGAACTTTTGATCTAGATATGCCTGGACAACAATTTCATCACAGCTTGAAAGAGCATCACAAAATTAGTAATATTCCGAAGTTTCGTTGCAAAATGTTGTAAAATGCGGATAATATAGCCTTGCAAAGTTTGCCGTTTTTCAGTCATTTGGTATTACAAACGGGAAATTGATAATCAGATTATCAAACTGATTATCAATTTCCTGTTTGTAATACCAAATGACTGAAAAACGGCAAACTTCGCAGGGCTATATTATCCGCATTTTACAACATTTCGCAACAAAACTTCGGAATATTACTAATTTTGTGATGCTCTTTCAAGCTGTGATGAAATTGTTGTCCAGGATGGCTAGATCAAAATTTCACTCAAAAGGGGAAAGGTCTATTGAAAAATATATTTTTCTACCTTTTCATTAGTTACTTCTGGAGTTGTGCTGGCCTGTCCATCATTCAATACTTGAGCTAATGTAATGACTTGTTGTGCCAACTTTTGAGGTTCCTCTGCACCATCCACTTTACCCAAATCTTCTATCTCCTTTAAAAGTTTATCCCCCTCGACCTTTTGTATCGTCACCTTCAAAAAACATAACAAACTATTCAGTTAAGGTACACGGCTCAAAATACAGAAAACATATCCCACACAAACTATTTTCTTTGGAATGGAGCGAGCCAGTCAACTCTGGTTGAGGAGTGCGACCGTTGTTGAGTTGATCAAGTGCACAATCACTACAAGGAACTACGGCACAATAGTCTGTAGTCTTGCTTGACAATTATTATTGTTTTGTTCATATTTGATTCTTGTTGTCGTAATTGTCTTTCCAAATTCGTATTTGCAAAATCGTAGTTTATAAACTTGCGAGTTGTGCGGTCATTTTGATTATTTATGTACCTGGTCGGTCGGTGTGGGCAACGATTTTTCACTTGTTGAAAATTGTTTTTATTGCAATTATCATTTCAATTGTTTTCATTATCTAAAGTCACGTGACCACAGATCAGTCAATCCCGTTTGGTTTGGTATTCACGCTATCTATATAACAACACTGAATATACACTCCTATGTGTTCTGGCTTAGGAAAAACGTCCGAAATATTTTACGTGCTATGACGCCATCCAGGAGTGCACACGGCACTTTGAACCTATGTTTTCCTATGAAAAACTTCCGTGTGCACTCCAGGATGGCGTATTTTCACGTCACTCGTCAGCACTCGTAAAATTTCGGACGAAATATCGTCCGAGTGTCCCTTCTGGTCTAGTATCTATTTTGTGGTTATGCACATACCTGTACGGACAGGTTCACTTTGGCATACCCCCCATATGTGCCTTGGATTTCAACAAAAATAGGAATCGTGTAATTCGTATTATTCCGACCTGCAGGCAGTTTGGTTTGCGGCGACGTATTCTCCTGGCCATTATACCATAGTATCCATTCATAATCGTTCTTTCCCTTGATCGAGGTCACGGTTGTTTCCACATTTACGGAGGACTGGTAGCGAATGTTGTAGGCCAAGGGATATCTACCGCCCTCCCAGTTAAGACATTGGACATAAAATTCAGTCTCAGCGGATTTACCATTCTTTGGTCTAAACACGAAGCAAACACAATTAGCCTTTCATGTGCTATGCCGGCCAAATTAAGAATAATAATATTACGCACGGTGATTGGCTCACGATTCATGAGAGCGAGGCTCCCAGAACAAATAACGTAATTATCGAAATGGTGTATTATTGTTTATTTATTTATTTATTATATGCTTTGCCAATTTCACACAATCATATCTGCACAAATACAAACACAAGAATATACAAACTATCAATCAATCAATGGCAGGGTATATGCTACAGCTTTACGCCAATTACAGCAGCCCTTACAGAACGAACATGACACATTCTACATTAGATCTTTAGTAATATAAAAAGGCCAGTTTGCACCCAGGAAAACCTCCGCAGGATAGTAATGGAAGGAAAGTTACATAGTGCTAAAGTCGTTAGTTCCAACGCCGTCCGCTCCTGCGGAAAATTTTCCTGAGTGGAAATTAGCCGACAATGAAGCTTAACAAGACCAACTCAGGGACACACATTAGAATTAATAACAACACGAATTTGAACAAGACAAATTACGGGACTTGTTACAAGACAAACATATAGACTTCCATGTTCTAGGATTTTCTGCGTCGTAAATGTTCAGAGCCGATTTGTAATATTCATAGAGATCGCTTTTGAAACGACCTAAGCTTATGTTCTTTGTTGTCAACTCTTTTGGCAGAACATTCCATACTCTCGCACACCTGGATATAAACGATCTCTGAATGAGGTTGAACCAATGGGTTGAACATGGTAGAAAGTATCAAGCCAGAAGTTTATGTCTAAGGTTTATAACACAAACTGAAGGCTTAATTGATCATTTTTCATATCTGGCAATGAAAAAAACATCGCATCTGTGGATCCAATGCGTCGAAAAAATGACCAGTCCTTTGTCCATTTCGTATTCGTACTCCACAGTAAGACGTCATAACGTTGATTAGTATTTTTGCACAAGTGAACATAACAAATCCCACAAGTTGATTGGTCAAATTTGACGTATTAAGCGTTATATTCACTTATAGGTGATAACAAAACCGAAATTTTAAAAATGGCGGCTAGCCGTTGTGTGGCCATTATACTGATAAAGAAATAAGCAAAATTAAAATAAATTCAGTCCCAAAAAACACAAAAATACTAAAACAATTATTCGCCTCAGGCTCGGTGATTATCGGGGAATATTCACCTCGACTACGTCTCGGCGAATATTCTCCGACAATCAGACAATCACCTCGCCTTCGGCGAATAATTGTTAAATATGATTTTTTCATATTCAACGATATGACGTCATTCCGTTGAATATTATGTCAAAGCTCCATATATGGTCAGCTATTGAGTTGATATTTCACAATTCATGTTCAGGTTCACAATCAGAAACCACGAATCTTTGAAATAAATAATAACTTATCATCCCGAGTCACTTACTCAATTTTGCATGTTCCTCCAGTAAGTTCTCCAGACGTTTTAAACTGATAAATAGAATGAGAAGAATGTTTCCCTCGTGTTGTCTTCAACCGAACACTGTAATCCGTACTCCTGTCTAATGTATTAGCGGATAGAACCAAATTTTCCTTATCGAAATCAGTAGTTGTAGGTATTTCAGTCAGTGGGCCTTTTATTTCGTTTGCGTAGACAGCGTAGACTGTCCACGTGAAAGTGACATTTTGACCAGGCTTGCAGGATGAGCACTGGCCCGCTAAGGAAAGCCGGTCCGTAGGGATAACGAAAGGCAGACAGTTCACACGACAGCTACAGAAAAACAAGAAATGACAATTTGTAATTGAAGTTTAGTACAAGTTACTTTTTAGATCACGTCCACACTAGGAGTGGTTTGAAAATGGCGCAAAAAGATCACCATGGACCATTTGCATTATAGACTAAATTTTGATCTAAACAAGTGTAGACAAAAATCACAGCTTGAAAGAGCATCACAAAATTAGTAATATTCCGAAGTTTCGTTGCGAAATGTTGTAAAATGCGGATAATATAGCCTTGCGAAGTTTGCCGTTTTTCAGTCATTTTGTATTACGCGCGGGAAATTGACAGCCCAATCGGGTGTTGGGGCATCAATTTCCCGTTTGTAATACAAAATGACTGAAAAACGGCAAACTTCGCAAGGCTATATTATCCGCATTTTACAACATTTCGCAACGAAACTTCGGAATATTACTAATTTTGTGATGCCCTTTCAAGCTGTGATTAAATTTTTGTCCAGATCAAAATTTAGTCTATAATGCAAATGGTCCATTAGCCGTCGCATTCACGCTACGCCCGAGCGAGATTGTTTGAAAACGTCACCTTTGTCGTAACGATTCGAGCACGCGGATTCTAAACGGAGTGAGATGAAAACGAAACGAGATGAAAACGGAACGAGATGAAAACGGAACGCTTGGCGGCTTCGTGTGAACACAAACGCCGTTACTTTTTTTCTACCGCTTGCAAACCAAGCATCTCAGGTCTCAAAACAATAAATTCGAATGCTTTTCGTTTAAATTTCTTTGCTCTAATCGAGATATTTTGGGTTTACATGAGTGCTAGCTTGCTAATGAGATTCTTTTGTGGCGTTCCTTCAACATGGCCGTCATGACGTCATGTGTAAACCACTGAGCTCTCTCTCTATATATATATATCTGGAGCAGGAACTTCAGTCATTCGGCCAATGAGAAAAGTGAAGTCAAGATGGCGGCCATTGACGTTCAATAGCTCTGAAGGTCGTAAACAGTTTTTATACCATTTCCCCCCCCCTCCAGCTAATTCCAGTTTTTTCTAACAGACCGTATCACTAACCAAGTTATCAGTTCATAAAATCATAATATTAGTCTTTAAATCGAAGTCAAAATACGAAATTTTAGGTACACTCCTTGCCAAGATGGCAGATTGTTACACACGTAAAAACGCACAGCTTGTAACAAGTCTGCACAAGTCTGTTCACAAGCTGTCAACAAATTGTGTTCGCACTGCTTGTTCCCAGTTTGTTGTAACAAATTTGGAACAAGCTGTTAACAACTTGTAACAAGCTTGATGGACTTATCAGCCTTGTTACAAGACTGTGCTAACAAGTTTGTTACAGCCATGATATAACAAGGATGTTACAAGGTTGTCAACACAAGGTTGTAACAATCTTGTTTTACCAAGCATGCATGTAACAGACTTGTCAGAACAACCTTGCAACAAGTCTGATAATTTCGACAATGTTGTTACAAGTTGTCAACAAGTTGTTCCAAACCTTTTGACAACTTGTGACAAGCAGTGCGAATACATCTTGTTGACGGCTTGTTGACAGACTTGTTACAAGATGTGAGATTTTTGCGAGTGTAGTCACTTTCAGTCCCTTTCTATTGTGCGGAATTGCGCGGTTAACACTAAGCTGGCTTCATTTTTTGAACTCAAGTTCTCGCTCCAGATATATATATATATATATATATATATATATATATATATATATATATATATATATATATATATATATATATATATATATATATTGGTTTTTGAGTTGTTTTCAGACGAGTGTATACCAAACCGGGCAAGCAGAAAATCTACTTGACCGCGGCTGGGATTCGAACCCGCGACCTTCGTATTTCTAGAACGATGCTCTACCGTCTGAGCTACAAGGCCAAGCTGAGAACGACTTGTTAAGTTATGATGTTAGTTGCATTTCGGAGGTTAGTCCTTCAATGCGTAAAGCCAGCTATTAGTCTGGCAATGTTGTATGTGAATGTTGTGGTTTCCCACGTTTACGATTATATATACATATATATATATATATATATATATATATATATATATATATATATATATATATATATATATATATATATATATATATATATATATATGTGTGATTTACATAAAATATATGTAAATATTGCAAAGTATATTTAACTTTAAACATTGACTCTTTCTTTTAAAAAAATAAATGCGTCTTTGCATTCCGAAGATTCAATCTTTTCAGGGTGTGGAATAAATCGCTCATTTGGCACATTCAAAACACCTGATGCTGTTGCTGCTTCTTGAAGCTGTTCCTCAGTGATTGGCCAACCTAAAAATACAAAGTGCAAAGGTTTTAAAGGTTTGAATTTGGATACTGATTTAAATGCACACATGGTACAAAATGTGCAATTACCACTTATAAAAATGATCAACATATATATGTTCAGTATGGCATAACATCCAAATGTGCTGTTCGATAGGTGCAGTATATTAATTTTGTAAAATGCTTACCGCATTTCTGAAGACCATATTCTTGTGGAAATGCAAGCATGTGGTTGGGAACTCCATCTGGAAGGTTTGTGTCCTGCTTTCTTATTCTGTGTGGATTCCAAACAGTATTTCGAAATTCGTCCAACTCTCTCTGAATAACTGGTATCATTATGAATGCCATCAATGATCTAAAACAGAACAATTAAAACTGAGGGAAAAGTATGGCAAACTGTTGCATAATTTGTACGGTACCCAAATACAGTTATGTCTGCTTGGTCTCTTATTAAAAACTCAGTGAACATTGCTGGTTGGTGCATAATACATTTAATCAGGATATACTGTACTATCAAGTTTGAGAATGAACATATGGCCTTGCAATAATAAGCCTTCTGTTGGGCCATAAATATTTACAAAATGAATGTACATTGAAGGCATGACTTGATCAGCAAGCAAAACTAGTGTATATATACCTACCGATCGTTTTCATCATGTGGGTCATAATAAAGACGGTCCTTCAAAAAACTTAGTTGTTCTTTAAAGTACATCTCCATCCTTTCATGAATCTCTCGCCACCATCTTTCTATCTGCATGATTAGATAATAGATATTATATATAATATAATATATACTTCAATTCAAACTTTATATTCCAACTCTGGTTAACATTGTGGGAGCGGGGGTGGGGGGGGAGTGTTTCCATCTGTTCCTATGGTCACCGCCTAGTATCCCAGGTATTCTGAACCAATTTCTTTTATCTTGGGAGACAACTATATTTTGGCCAATTTCATATAAATTTATAATTTATTTTAAATTTATAAGAACTACTGTGGTTTTACCTGATTGGAAGTTGAAGGGCCATATAGTATGGTATCAGTCGGTTCCATATCACCATGGTGTCTTCTTAAGAAAGCATGCATAGTGCATAGTACGGTGGTTTCAGTCCCTTTGTCAAGTCGTAAAAAAGTGGATATCATTCGAGTTTCATACAAATGCTCAAGGTAAAACCGACCAATCACATCAGGGTCACTATTTGTTACCCAAACTCGAAGCCATAATATTTTTCGGCTGGCAGAATCAATCGAGCCATATATAGCAATAGGGTAGGTGCTGTTCTGGTACCCCATTAGCTTGTCGTGCCCATCAAGGGAGTGAACCCAGTTAGAGCCTTTGGTTGTGAAATGTCCTGTTCTTTTTTTCTTCTTGGCTGCTGGGGCTCTAGCTTCAACACCCTCCGCATCGAGATCTTTCATCATCGCATAAACCAAATCGCGAGGCACATTCAATCCGTGATTTATTCGAATATTCTTCTGCATTGGTCTATACCCTATCAGCTTGCTTGGACCGTCTAATTCCGTCGAAACAGCTTCTCTCACTTCCTCCACAGTTACTTCTCTATCCGAATAAAAAATATCAAAATGTCTAAGGCGACGATCAAGAGATCGTACGCTCCATGGATACTGCCCAAAATTTTCCTTAAAGTGCCACTGCGATGGGAAATTGTGCTGTCTTTTTATTGTATATTCAGAAAGTATGTCAGTAGATAAACAAAATTACCAAATATCAGCGTCCAATTCCATTTCCTTCTGCCTTTTTTTTCAACGCAAACATGCAAATTTTTCGGCCGCCATTACTGAGTTGCCAATTAGCGAGATGTTGATTTCTTAGCCGGATGTGACGTCATTTACTCAACACGCTTCTTTCCCGAAGGAGAAATTAATATTATCAAAGGCTATCAAAGGCTTATACTAGGCTGTTTTTTGTTCAAAATTATGTCTTCTGACGAAAGCCACAGCTCAAATTTTGCAACACAATCATCTTGCGAACTCTCTTTTGCCGAAGACGTTTCTTGTGATAGCGGGGGTGATGTAAATATGGAGAAAAGTGTGGATTTGTGCGAAGCCTATGATACTTCAGTTGAAGCTCTTGCCACTGAAACGAAAAGTACTATAACTGAGAGAGAGCAAGAGCAGCAAACACTGTCTGCTGAATTGCCTGGGGAAACCTTAACGGGCACCTGGTACGTTTTGGATTGTATTTATTTACGTTTTGGTTTATATATTTGTGACATAAAACAAACATGTGATCGCCATGTTTAACAAAACAAATGGTCACTGGTCTCCTTATAGAAAATCATTGTCACCTCCGTTATATTGCACGAAACGTCTTCAATGAGAGATGGCTTAAAGATGACCGTGTTGCCAAATTGGAAATCCTAACTCACGTAAGAAAACATATTAATTTGCACAAAGTTGTGGGAAATATATTTCAATTATATATATTAATAAATATATTATATACTTCAATAGTATACTTCAATAGTATACTTTAATATATTAATGATCCATAGGTATAAATGTGGTAACTGTGTCCTGGCTCATTGTTGTTTATGTGAACCTTGTAAGAAAAAATGCTGGAAGAGAACATGCATGACTGCTGCTTATTAAACTGAGCATCTAGCATTTGATATTGGTTGTTTGAAACACTGGGTGTTAAAACTTCCTGGTTTAAGTTACAAAACCTGATTAAAAGGCTGCCAAATTATACCACTCTGTATACCGAAGGGAAAAAGAGTGAACCAGACTAAGTATTTCAATGTGTAGTTCTAGGCAATACGCCCTGCTAATGGAAGAGATTTTATTAGTTAATTATGAACCCCCACCCCTCTAGATTTTTCTAATTGTCACTGACAGCTTGTTTCCCCCACCCCTATGGAAATTCTGAACAGTTTTTTACTACTATCATACTTTCAAGCATGATGTCGGTGTTTTAAAAAATATCTCGGCAAAATGTTCATTGTTCACATAAACAAGACAGAAACCGTATCTTGGCATATGCACAGCAAGGAAGGGGGTACCTTCTTGAACTGTCGGTATACAGCTCCACACAAGCTTCACTACGTGATATGCAACTGCCCTAAGAAACATACTTTCAAAAAGAAAATTTATATATTAACATGACAGCTTTAAAATTTAGTAATCCAAAAACTATCATGTTATTTGTGAGCTGTGTTCTGCACAAAAACACCAGGATTCATAATACAAGATCCTTGTTTGGCTTACATATAACTTAGCTATAGGCTTTTCAAGTTTTCTTGTTCACATGACAGGATATTTCAGTACCTTGCTCACCTTTACAGGGATTCAAACATTACTAAATTCAGAATATGATACTCAGATCATGACATTGTATCAGTTTGGCTGCCCCTGGCTGATGAGAATTTCTTACCACTCATCGCCAGAGTAGGGAGTGCTCTTTTTCTCACCAACCTACCTGGTAGTCATTCTTTTTAAAGAAAAACATGCAAATATGTCTGGGGGTTGCCTTTTGAGGGAATGCTTAATGCCAAAAATTACTCCTACATGACTCAGTCAAATTGCATAGTTCCAGGAAATAGCAAAAAGCCACCCCCCCCCCACACCCCACCCTGCTACAGAAGAGATCGGAAATTCAAGAGGATAGGGGGTGAAGTTGCGTTGACCATTGCATCAAGATTTCCAATGGAATGGGGGTATACTAAAAGTCTTGATATTTCCAGAGGGTATTCAAATACAACCAATATCAAATGCTGGTCATGCATGTTTTCTTACAAGGTTCACATAAACAATGAGCCAGGACACAGTTACTATTGAAGTATACTATTGAAGTTTATAATATATTTATATTAATATATATAATTGAAATATATTTCCCACAACTTTGTGCAAATTAAGATGTGTTCTTAAGCGAGTTAGGATTTCCAATTTGGCAACACAGTCATCTTTAAGCCATCTCTCATTGAAGACGTTTCGTGCAATATAACGGAGGTGACAATGATTTTTTATAAGGAGACCAGTGACCATTTGTTTTGTTAAACATGGCCATCACATGTTTGTTTTATGTCACAAATATATAAACCAAAACGTAAATAAATACAATCCAAAACGTACCAGGTGCCCGTTAAGGTTTCCCCAGACAATCCAGCAGACAGTGTTTGCTGCTCTTGCTCTCTCTCAGTTATAGTACTTTTCGTGTATTATGTTTTTTCAGTGGCAAGAGCCTTCGACAGGCTCGGCTGAAGTATCATAGGCCTCGCACAAATCCACACTTTTCTCCATATTTACATCACCCCCGCTATCACAAGAAACGTCTTCGGCAAAAGAGAGTTCGCAAGATGATTGTGTTGCAAAATTTGAGCTGTGGCTTTCGTCAGAAGACATAATTTTGAACAAAAAACAGCCTAGTATAAGCCTTTGATAATATTAATTTCTCCTTCGGGAAAGAAGCGTGTTGAGTAAATGACGTCACATCCGGCTAAGAAATCAACGTCTCGCTAATTGGCAACTCAGTAATGGCGGCCGAAAAATTTGCATGCTTGCGTTGAAAAAAAAGGCAGAAGGAAATGGAATTGGACGCTGATATTTGGTGATTTTGTTTATCTACAGACATACTTTCTGAATATACAATAAAAAGACAGCACAATTTTCCATCGCAGTGGCACTTTAACAAAGCTTAATATCTCTTCTCTTTTTAATCCCTCTCGAACATACTGAACTAGTTTCTCTTTTAATTCCTCATCGTCTTTCCAAGAAGCATCACAGAGAGCCGCCATCTTGCACAAGTGCTTCCACATATTGACGGTATTTCTTTTTGGTAATGAAAATTCCATGGAAACACTGACGTGGAAACACTGACGCGCGCAAAGCATCATGGTGTACTGTGGCAGCGATAGGCTTTGGAGAATTTTAATTTTACTTTGATTTGTGTTTTATTTTGCTTTTAACTTTATTTCTTATTCAATTTTCATTTACGTTTGTAAATGAAAATGATAATTATTATTTTTTACTTTAGTTTTTTATTGTAAATGTATTTTAATTTTAATTTAAAACACTTTTTATTAATTCAGAAAAAAAGATAAGAGTAAAATTTGAGTGGCAGCGATGGGCCACCATAACGGTGTATTTCTCGGGTGAGAAACACCATGAACCTTGCAATTATAAATTATAAATTAATTATAAAAAACTGCAACAGGAGGCTTGAGGTCATGTCTCAGAAATTTTTCAGATTTTCCATTCCCCAGGAGTAGGATTTGGATTTTTGACATTTCCTGGCACAAATTTGCTTGGTAATTGCTATAATCGCAGGATTTATTAGAAATAACATAATATCCTTAATTCCTAGCTGAAAACAAAATTCCTTGTCGTTTTCTAGTA